AAAGCTGTCTAAGAGAGGCTACAGAATTAGTACATCTTCTAATACCTCTATCAGGATTTCACACATAAGTATTACTCTTGATCTGTATATCTTGTTTTACAATAAAATGAATTCAAAATCTGGACACCTCACAAAAATTTCAGAATGAGCTCCTTTCCTTTTCGTTAGACAAAATAGATTTCTGCAGTGCTCATTTGGAAGGGTGGTCCTGCTCAGACAGGATTTATCCTCATACCTCCACACAGAATCAAAGAACTTCCCATGTATTGATTTATTTGTTCATCCCCTAAATTAAATATCATGAAATGAAAACCATTCATAATACCACTACCCAAAGACGTTCACTGTTGGTCTTAGCTATTCACAGAAAGTCATCACCTATAACGTGTGTTATAAGTAACTTATGCTTCTCATCTTCCTTTTTTTTCAAAAAAGTATCCAAATCTTTATACTACTACACAAACCAAGCCAAAGTTGTTTTCTAAGAACATTTTTTAAATTTCTGAAAACAGTGCTTTATACATTAAAGAATGTTGGACAGTTTTCTGCACTAGGGTTTTAGCATTTCATTATTTGTCATGCGTGAAGGGATTAGGAAATATGTTTTTCAGATTTAAATTAAATTCAAGGGCTATGGGGATAGCTGTGAATGAATAGGCTTGATATATTCTTTTCTACAAGCCTAAACACCCTCTTGGGTAAGTTTTCTGTTTTGAAAGTTACTCTGATTTCATTTAGTAGAGTGAAGGGTCCAGAGGTTTAAAGAGTTGTTGTTTAAAAGAAGAACGAAACAATTTAAATGATTCTAAATCTAATGTATTAATCTAATGTATCTAAATGTATTAGATTGTACATTAAAGCACCCAATTTTCCAGTCCAATAAAAATAAGTATGAAAATGGGTTAATGCATCACAGATGCATACCCTAAAATTTTGTTTAAGTCCTATCTAGGTGTATATATGTAGCACTTAAGTATATGTAAGATGGTCTATTTCAATATGACAATAATAATAAAGTTTAAAGGTACTGTTTATTCCCTTTTTGTTTCTCTTTATTCCAAGTAAAGAGGCCCTGTTCTTTTCAGTAAAAGGGAGAACGTCACCATTACAAAAAGTGATTGCAGGGGAATGGTTGGAATCATCAATAATCTTTGTCAGATGCTACCAAATATTAGAAAATTGAATTTTAATGTGTTGACTTAATTCTCACCTGGAAGAGAAGACAGTCCTATCTCTTTATCTCATGCTGACTTTGACTTCTTAACTTTCGGTTTATTTACTATGATTATAATTATTATCAAAATGTATCTTTCAGAATAAGTATAACTGTACCTTGAAAAAAACTTTAGGCAATAGAGAGAAATACAATAAATGTTTTGTGTTTATGATATGAAAGTATAGCAGTTAGATTTTAAGGATATCCCTCCCCTGAATGGCCCATATTTTCCTGATGTCTTTACACAACAACATAGAAAGGGCGCAAACACCCTTTTAAAATTTCATATTCTCATTAATTTCATTCATTCAACAGATTTTTATTAACCATCTTCCACGTGCAACACATTCTTCTAGGTCCTGGGGAGTCACAAGGGATGAGAGGAAATATTTGTCCTCATGGAGTTCATATTTCAGAGAGTGTGTTTGAGAAAGTTGCTACTATATAAATTCAATTTAATTTCTTTATTTTATTTATTTATTTTGAGACGGAGTTTCACTCTTGTTGCCCAGGCTGGAGTGCAATGGCATGATCTTGGCTCACTGCAACCTCCGCCTCCTGGGTTAAAGTGATTCTCCTGCCTCAGCCTCCTGAGTAGCTGGGATTACAAGCACCCATGACAACACCCAGCTAATTTTTGTATTTTTAGTAGAGACAGGGTTTCACCATATTGGCCAGGCTGGTCTCGAACTCCTGACCTCAGGTGATCCACCCACCTTGACCTCCCAATGTGCTGGGATTACAGGTGCAAGCCACCGTACCTGACCTCATTTAATTTAATAAACATTTATTAACTGACTTATACAGAATTTTCCTATTTCCTATGAATATGAATACTTGAAGAAGATAAAATACATGGTAGTATAAATGTCATCTCTCTATAACATCCCTTAAACTAGTTGCCTCCTCATCTGTGTTTCTATAATACTTCATGTGTGCCTGTATCACAGCAAAGATCACACTGCATTATACTTTTGTGTATGCCTGTTTGTCTTATCCTCAGTGGTCTGTGTGAGGCTCAGGACCCTGTACTATTTATGTCTTATCCCCCTGAAGAGCTCAGTACTTGCCCAAGTAAATGATTGGACTTGAAGAGGATTGAGTATGTAGCTTCTGCCCTCAGAAAATCTTCAGTGAAGAAGGAAAAAAAATAGATAAACAGCCTATTCCTGAAGAGAACCCTATAAGAGACAAGAATCTTTTATGTAAATGTTCATATTAAGGGAATCTTGATAGAGTAACAGTTTAAAAGAGAGAGGATTGATTTAATATAATAAGTACAGAATGTTATTTATCAACTATGTAGAACAAAAAAAGACAAATTCTCCTGATATTTAAATAAAACGAGGGAATTACAATGTTTGTGTATTATAGCTACACAGTCTTATATAAATTAAAGTAAACAAGCCCAGGTGTGAAATAATTACTACATCCGCAGGTAGACAAACATTTACCAAATCTTAGGGGAAAAAAAAAATTTAGAATCTTCTCCCTAATCTGAGTTTCCATATGTTTGAATGTTTGGTGAAAAATAGTCAAAGCATCAAATTGGAGTATCAGCAGGGAAACAGGGGTCAGACACTCTCCCGGAAAGAATTGCCCTTCAGTATCGGATTCCTATTTATCATGTCCTCATTCCTTTCCACAGTGCCCGTGAATCAGTGTTCCTATACTTTGCCTCAAACAGGCAACATCTTCTAGTTGTTGTTTAACAAAGTTCACCTATATACATGATCTAAATGATGCCATCTCTTTATATTCACCAGTTTAGGCATAAACCATCTCATGGGGAAGTATGTGAGAGTAGGTACCTGCAAATTTTGCATTGCCTATAACATGTAATAGATTTTTGACATACTCTATTTCTGGGTCTCTTTTCTTGAATGAGTCAGAAAGTGGGTGAGCAAGTGAGTAAGGAATAGAAATTAGATGCACAGAATTCTGCAATTTCAATGAGAATATTTGTTTACTGAATGCCACTTCGTAGATGATCATGGCCTACGACTCAGAAGAATTTCATGGCTACTGAAAAACTGCTCTTCTTGTGGTCAGAAATGCCGCCATTGTCTCACAAATAAAAGAAGAGTTTTAAATGAGAAAGAAATAGAATATACTTGGGATACTCAAGAACAAGAAGAAGAAGGCGAAGATTGTGTCCTTACTTTTCTTGGCATAGCCGTTTAACATTTTCTCTACCTTATCCCAACCCACCCTTACTCCCAGAAAGACACTTTTCAGGAACACATGGAAACTGTTAATGTTTTTTGAATAAAAATATGCTTAGTGCATAGAATGCCTGCAGGACCTTTCACAGAAATGGACCATTCCTAGATTCAAATAAGAGGCTGAATAGATTTAAGGGTGTTTTGTGAATTGTCATGTTAGCTGCAGAACACAGCACTTTCAACCTAGAGTGGCACTTTTCTTCAGGAGAAGAGCTAGGGAAGCCACTGTACGTTTTAAATATTTTTGTTTTTAACATATATGGTTTATATGGTTTTGAGTCATTGTAGAAACAGCCTGTGATCAGGCCCCAAATTATTATCACTGTTCATATTGCCATAGGGACATAACAAGGTAACCCATCTCAAAAAAGCTGAGTCTGCAGGGCTTAATTATTTGCTTGTCTCAGAAAGCTCTGTAATTTACCTCTTGAGGTTTTGACCTGTAATGGTCACCTTCTTCTTATGGCACTTAAGGTGTCCATCTGCTTGGCCATCCTAATGCTGTTGATTTGACTGTCAATGAAAGCATTTGTTTACATTCCTTAACTGAAAAGAATCTTCTCACCGCATTGTGGCACAGGTTACAGCGACTGATAGGAAAGTGCCACTGCACATTTTTTCCCTGAAGATTAGGTAATGAGCAGTTGTGACCATGACTCCAGCCTGACCCAGCTCGAATGACATCTTATTTTAAAAACAGTAAGAACCATAAAACTCTTCGGAAGGCATCTTGGTTTCCACTCTAAATGATGGCAGTTGTAGAACAATTAAAATCTATGACTTTTTACATTGCAAAGAAGATGTTTCTGTTTGCTACTTTTGGCATTCTTTTTCCTTATAGCAGGACAAAATCAAGTTTTATATATATATATATATATATAATCTTGACATATATATGGATCAAAATCAGATTTTATATATATAATCTTTACATGTATATGGATCTTTCTGTGCATGGAGTTTAAACTTTGACTCAATAGTATACACACATATATTACGGTCACCTTTCAAGAAAAATCAGTCTAAAAATATTATCTCAAAAGAAATGTAAAATTAAAACAAAAATTGATTCCAAACTTTTCAGGCTACAAGTCATTTTGATGAATGCCTTCAGCCCTGTACTACTGCCAACTGTGTCAATAACAAGTGAAACTATCTCAGACACTATTCCCAAACATTTTTGTAGATATGGGGGAAAAGTTTTAAGATATTTATACATCTTTACTTTAAATATTGCAATTGTTAGAAATTCATAGTTACCAAATGTGAAATATCAATTTAATTAAAGATAGTTTTCATCAATGGGTTTTGATCAGGATAAAGTTTCTTAGAATGTTTAATGTGTTTAGTTGGGTTACAAACTGGTTAGTTTGTTTCCTCACTGGTATGTATTTCCTATCCTTAGAAAGTTGTAAATCTGAGTGAGTCTCTTAAAGAAATGAAATAAAAGTCTCTCTAGAAAGTAAGAGGCATGCTTTGTAAGCCACAGAATCACTAAATTTCATTCCACTGCTGGTTTTCAACTGGAATACACTTTCAACTATTGTCTTTTAATGTAGACCTTTAATGCCTGAGGAATGCAGAGCCACGGTACAACCTGCACAGACATTGACTTCAGAGTGCTCCAGGCTCTGTCGAAACGGCTACTGCACCCCCACGGGAAAGTGCTGCTGCAGTCCAGGCTGGGAGGGGGACTTCTGCAGAATCGGTTAGTATTTCTGTTTTCACCTGAAAAGGACTGGGGATGAGTCAATCCTTAGGTACTCAAGAACTCAACACCGATTGTTTCTTCTACAATAATATAGTGTTCAAAAGTGTTTAGCCATTTACAATACTATTAATGCTCATCTGTTTCTGAGCTTGTAAGTAAAATCTTGTTCATTTTCTTAATGTAAACAATTCACTTATGTAAGTTAATTATAAATATGCAAAACCTTTAAATGACTGAGTCCTTTCAAAAAGTAAAAAATGCAAATAGCACAACTAGATAATCTCTGTGGGCCTCTCAATCCTGGGTTCTGAGATTTCACACTAGCCAATGACTTAGTGTTTGCCAAACCCCTCTCCAAGCGCTAGCATTTTCCAGACACCCCATAAATGCCCTCCCTGCCTTTACTGCTTGCTTTCCTACCACAGCAGACTAAAAACAGGGCTTTTCAGTGGGTGTTATTAAATAAAAGGGGAAAATGCAATTATCTAGAGACATATTATGAGATTTTTTCATGCTTTTTGCCACTCCCCTGTGAACCATCAACTAGGTGTGCATCTGCTCAGAGAGAGCAAAGGAGATTTATTCCAGGGTTGTTCTAGCCTTTAACTTGATAGTTACTCAATTATGTGCAGTGATGTTTAAGTTCTAGTTGGTGTAAAGTCAGAAAATCAGATAAATTTAAAAACCTAGAGTTTAAAATGTGTATGTTGAAAATGCATAATTAACAATCAGCATATACCATCACTTAGAAAACATTTTGATCTCGGTTATTTCAAATATTAAAATACTTATTGCCAATGAAAATTAAAATATCAGATTAACATTTAATATTATTTATTCATAAATGCTATCTTTTTGTTTGTCCTCAAGATGTATTTCAAAGAATTATAACTATAACTTGTCTATTTTTATATTGCCCAACAAAAATAACCAACATTTAAAATCACACATAGAGGATACATTTTAAACTTAAATTGCTTCAGCATTAATAACATTATGTGTTTGATTAATACTATGGTTATGTATCTAGGAAGGAATTATCAAAATTAAAACTCAACAGAAATGAAGTAATTACATTATTTAAAACAAACGCTTACATGTTATTGACCCATCCTCTCTACCTTTTTGTTAGTTGACCAAAAATATGAGAATCAGTATTCAAATGTAATGATATTCAAATTCCTGCTAATATATTGTCTTTCTGCTTCCTTTGCTGCCTGACAATATCTACTTTCTCTGCTTTTTTTTTTCTGAGATGGAGTCTCTTTTTGTCGCTAAGGCTGGAGTGCAGTGAGGCGATCTCGGCTCACTGCAACCTCTGCCTCCTGGGTTCAAGTGATTCTCCCACCTCAGCTTCCCGAGTAGTTTGGATTATAGGTGCCCACCAACATGCCCTGCTAATTTTTGTATTTGTAGTGGAGATGGGTTTTCACCATGTTGGCCAGGCTGGTCTTGAACTCTCAACCTCATGTGATCTGCCACCTTGGCCTCCCGGAGTGCTGGATTACAGGCGTAAGCCACCATGCCCAGCCTCTCTGCATCATTTAGTAACAGAATATAACATAAAGTGTCCATTCTGTTATATTCCCTGCTTTGCATTTTGCCTAATCTCCTATGTTACCTGAAGCCTGCTAGTAACAGCGTGTTTAAATGAGGGTGAATGAATTATCTTGAATAGAGTTGGCATTGTACAAACCTTAATAGATACTAATAATAAATTGTGATATAAATGAAAATAGACATACATTGAGTTAACAGAAAGTTTTACTCCATGAGGTACTTTCATTTTTACACTGAATCAATTTAAATAGTTTGAATATATAATATTCACCAAAACCATTCTATAAAAGTAATCTGTTTATTTGGGATGTTTTGGACCCAATCAAGAATTTTATTCACGTACTCACATTGTTTACTCATCTCCCACAGATTTAAAACATAAAATTGTTTATTTCCTGCTTATTTTTTCTTTTCCATGTGTCAAAAACAGACCCCTGGAATTTGATTAATGTATTTGAAAGGTTAAAATAACCCTGTCTTGTCAAAACATAGGGAAATGTATTGAAGGAATTTGACTCCATCCACAGTGATTGTACTCCCCAGATTTAATCAGAAAATGGCAATTTATACATCCAATTTTATGTCTCATTTTAGCAGTATATCTTTATATTCCCCATTTATATTGTAGTGGTAAAAATTCTTTAATGAATAAATTCTGTGCTGTAGGGCAACCCTGAAAATGTTGGCTCAGAACATCCTTTGTTGGCCAATTGCACTGACTCCAGAAAGGGACTTCAAAATGTCATCAGAGAGCAAAGCATATGCTGTCTGCCCCCTGGAATCAAGAGGAAGGAAGAATCCAAAGGAGTTTATATGGTGGATATTCCACCTAACCAAAATCCAAAACTGACTGTTCCTTTATGTTACATTGGAGATGCTTGAGCCTCTCTGTCTCCCCCTCAGGCTGGGTCACTCCCGTGTTGAGATCCTACCTTGAAGGAATGGGAACAGAGTTTGCGAGGCCCTCTGTAGAGAATGCTCCCGTGGAGCAGAGATTTTGAAGGACTAAAATCTTCATTTTAAATAGAGTTAATTTCACAAAGGGTTGCAACTGTTTCTCATGATCTCTGCTTCTCTAGAAATGTCTCTTGTTCTCTGCCGAGTTCAGGTCTCCAAATAACTATGGGTGTAAAAGCGCGTTTCCTACTTGTATATTTATCTTTCAGATCATTTTGTAACTATCTCCCTCCTTTTTTCCCTCACTTCCCTTATTCAGCCATATTTGTAGGTCTCATGCTCAGTCCTGTTTCTGACATACAGAATGAGAGTGTGATGTTCTTGCTCTTTTTCTCTCCCAGCAAAATGTGAGCCAGCATGCCGTCATGGAGGTGTCTGTGTTAGACCGAACAAGTGCCTCTGTAAAAAAGGATATCTTGGTCCTCAGTGTGAACAAGTGGACAGAAACATCCGCAGAGTGACCAGGGCAGGTATTCTTGATCAGATCATTGACATGACATCTTACTTGCTGGATCTAACAAGTTACATTGTATAGTTTCTGGGACTGTTTGCATATTCCTTTCCAATGGGCATTTATTTTTTAGCCTGTCATTAAAAAACAAAAAACAAAAAACAAAAAACTGTTATCCTGCTACACACTCCTGTGATTTCATTCTCTTTTATTAATTTAAAAATGATTTCCAGAAATGTGCAGATCCTCTGTGTGTATGTCAGCATGTTTGTTCACATATGCACATACACATACTCATAATCCCTATATGCGTTGTTGCTTAACAGATGATTTTTTAAAATATATACTTCCTTGGGCAGAGTAATTTACACCGAAATTCCACTGTAAATTGATAACGGATTTTTTATGTCACTAGAAGAGATTATTTGACTTCCCAGGAATTTTCTGTCAGTAATCACTAAAGTCAACTTTAATAGAGTTTTGAAACATTACTGTGCAATCTGATGGATCTAATAAAAAAGGTAATATTTTTATATTAAAGTACTATAGTAGGAGAGAATGTTTCAGAACTCCCTGATGAATTTCTAAGTGAGCAACTTGATATAAAATTGTAATCTTCATTTTTGTCAGTGTATCCAATTACAGAATGTTACACTTACCTTTTTATTGGCTGAGAAATCTGATTACTTCGTCTTGAGATTTCAAGATTGTTTTCAAGTGTTGTATAATTAAATCATAACAGCATATTTTAAAATCAGTCTTCCTAAAAAGTCTGCTTTCATTGTATATTTTATTTAACAATAGGCACTGGGTTTGTGTTACATATTTATATATTTTATTTTATTTTTATAATATAGACATCACCTAGATGAAACACCTTTACCTTGTCCTGTAAAACACTAAAGTTACATTTTTCACCAACTTAATTGGAAAGAAGGGGAGTGAGAAAGCAAACAGTCTTTAATGTGCTGTGGATCTAATCTAGCAAGGTATCCTTGTGCCAACATGTAATCATTAACGACGGAAGAAAAAGCAAGAAAACAGCCAATTCTTATAAAATTCCAGCATTAAACATTTGTAAAGTGCTTTTCACCATAGCAAGACTGTCAGAGTCCATGTTATTAGAATGTTGCAGATTTCCACTGAATCGAACCTCACTGGAGAAGAGCTCACTTGTTTTTAAAAAAATCTTGGCTATGTAAGCTGTCACCTGTACAAATTTTTAACATAATAATTCTTGCCAAATACGACTTTAAATGTACGTGTTCCTTCAGAACTCAATGAAAATACTCTTTGGTTAATGTATCAATAAATTTTCTGTAAATGTTCTGTTCAGGGTTTTAAAGAGATGACATGTTCTGACTTAAAACTGCAAAAAGTCTAGTAGATATTTTTCTTCATGGTTTTCAAAGCCAGCTCTCCACGTTTGGATTTTAACAAAATATAAGGCCTCTTTGCACTACTGAAAAAACACATCTACTCATGACAAGTGCATACCCACTATGGCTGTCCTTCTTCTGTAAACATCCATTCCTCTAGAATCTAAATTGTAGAGCAGTATAGATTATGCAGCACCAGCTGACTTTCTAAACCTGCTCCTTACCTTTAGGAATACAAGCCTCAATTTAAAAAATACATTGTAGCTAGTATTTCTCTACTGTTTTAAGGTGAGAGATTTGCAATTAAAGCCCAGTAAGCATTTATATAGAAGCCACAATGTAGAAAGATTGGTTAAGTACACTGCTCTTGTCTGCCATATATGATTACTTAAGTTTCAAGTGACCTCATGCCAAATGGAAATGGGTTGAGAAATCTTGGTTCAGTGCTTAGTGAACAATAGCCTGCATTAAAAAGTGCATGCATAATTTTGCACAATTTAGATTCAATTGACAGTCTATTCAAAGAAGTCTCAGGATTAAATGAGCATGGAGACCAAATTGCCCTCTTACCCCAGAAAAGGGGTGGTCGCTTCTAGTCACACTAACACTTCATTGGCCCAACAGTGTGACAAATCTTGCAATGAACCATGCAGTAGCCTGCATCTGTAGGTTAATAGCAATCTTTTGTCTCCATTGCTTTCTCTTCATAGCCCTTTTACTGAATTCCATCACAGAAAGTTTTACAATTAAAAAAAAAAATGTCCTGACAACCATTTTTGTAAATGGACCTTACCATCTAATCGTCCCTTATTCAACGTGGGTGACATTAACAAAATGTGAACTTCTTGTGAGGGAGCCAGCTGTCTAAATCTGTCAAATCGTGCAGTTTTATTACACATTCTCCAATTCTTCCTAGCTTCCCTGAAAACAATAAGGATACTGCTATATATTCAGTAAAATCTAAAAAAATCAAGCATTTCTTCTTACATCTTTAAACTTTCCATCTCCTCCCCAAAATAAAAGGTGTTCTATTGCCATTAGTTCTACTGTTTTAAAATATCTATATTAAGTTGACCAGGCCCAGATTTTTTATACAGCTTTTTCCCAAGTGAAAGATTTTCAAGTGACTTAGAAAAACATATGTGCCCCAGGTGTCACTGCCTTTCCTTTTGTGAGTCGTTAGAATAAAAGACCAAATTCTTCTCAAGAGAAGATAGCAAGATCCACGGATATTAAACCAAGCAAAGAAAGTAAAGTCATTGAAGTCATTTCTTTCTGTTCTTAGGAGAAAAGTAGATAGCACTGGCTAATTGATGGCAACATATTTTAAATTAAGTGGTCAATTCAAAAAATCTCTTTGACCTTTTCTTTCAAGTAGATTTTTTAAATGCATGACTGGAGAATTCTCTTCAATGATTCATGATGAGAGGCAGGTAGGAATTGGTTAAGAAGTAATAGCTAGGAAAAAAATATTGTTTAATCACAAGAAAGGCAACATCTGCTCAGTTCATAAAGCACACAATCTCAAATGGAAGAAATAAAGGTTCTTCGTAAGAATACTGATGCATAAGATAAAAACAAAATAATGCAAAAGAAAAATGTATATTATTATTCCCTTGTCCATTCTCAAGTTTAAGCTGTGGTTGTCAGTTGAATGTGAAATGACATTATAGTTGTTTTAAATGGTTGGAAATAACCTTTCTACTACTGTTTCTGCCACACTGCTGTCCTGGTTCATAAAACCTTGTTTTCTTGACAGTTATTTAGGTAATAAAAGGAACACCAATTGGCAGATAAATTTAAGTGAAAAGGAGAAAAGATTTAAGAAATTGAGTGATGGCTAAAAGTGCTTCCATCCATAACTTTTTTTCTTGGATTTTTTTTCAATGTAATTATTGTAAAATATATTTTTTATTTTATCACAAAGAATACTCGGAAGTTTTCTCAGATTGATAAGTATCTCATAAAGAGTAGAGAAACCAACACATACAATATATACACACAACCTAAATAGAAAACTGTTCTCTTTGTTATTTGCATCCCCCAGCGCAGTTACTTCTTCCCTGTTTATTTCTTTGAAAATAATTACAAAACAGTATACTAACAATTTTAATCCATTTGCTGTTTTTTGTTTTGTTTCATTTTGGTTTTGTTTGTTTTTGTTTTTGTTTTTGAGATGGAGTCTTGCTCTATCACCCAGGCTGCAGTGCAGTGGCACGATCTCGGCTCACTGCAACCTCAGCTTCCTGGATTCAAGCAATTCTCCTGCCTCAGCCTCCCGAGTAGCTGGGATTACAGGCACCCGCCAGTATACCCAGCTAATTTTTTGTGTGTTTTTCGTAGAGACAGGGTTTCACCATGTTGGCCAGGCTGATTTCAAACTCCAGACTTCAAGTGATCCAGCTACCCAGGCCTCCTGAAGTGCCAGGATTACAGGCATGAGCCACCACGCCCAGCCTGCATTTGCTTTTGATATTGTTTTTATCTCTGAGTTATAAACTATACAAGCTTTACCAGGTGTAAGGTGTGAGGTTAGATGCTACATCTAGGAGCGTTTAAGATATACATTAATTTAAACTTTTATTAATCCAACTTTCCACTAAAACTCTTAGCTTTGAAACATAAAAGAGAAATCAAGCCCAGATTTTTAGAGGAAAGCTAAGGTATACCATTGGCAGTTGTAGTTTTAATTGTAGTTGACTGATTAACCAATTAGTTTATAAAATGTTACCTATAATGTCTATGTTCTCTTCCTCTCCCTCCCTCCTTCTCTCTCTCTCTCTCGCTCTCTCGGCTAATATACATGTGCATGTGTGTGTGTGTATATACATGTATATATATACACATACATATATATACATATACACACATACATATATATATATATTCTTTTTCCTTTTAGCCACTTCCCTCTCCTGCATTTTCTATTGGTTTTGCCTAAATAGACGTGTTCTCAATACAACCATGTTGAAGGTATCCTGGGCTAGACTGCTATTGATTTTGCTGGTTATGATCTTTTCTTTGTTTTTCTGAAAAATAGCCTCTCCTGGTTCCACATTTTCTCAAATTCTATGTAACAAAGAAGTGGATAGTAAACAAATGACATGCTAGGCTGATCTATTACAATCATTGAAAGAAATAAGGAAGAGCAGAAATCTCTACCAGTCCAGATGCTCCCATTCAGCTGCTCTAGCATAGATACAGGAAAGACCTGGAGAATAACACTGGGGTTAGCTAACAGCAGGGAAAGTTAGCAGCTATTTCCTAGCCAAGGAACAACCTTCTCTATGGAATAATTTTAAGAAAATTATTCCAAATCTGTGAGAAAAAAAAATAAGCAGCCGTTCCTCAATGGAGACTTTAAAAATCTTAATTTCCCTACCCCTGAGATTTGAAGTTGCAGAGGACTCAGACAGAAGTCCCATGGCAGAAAATGTACATATTTTTAAACTACTCCCAAGAAGTAAACTATTACTGTGAATGCTGGCAATACCATCAGAAAGTTTATCTTTACAATACCTAAAAATAAATATATGTTTGCTATCTTATCCTTTTTTTGTCACACCACCATAAATTGGTCATACATGTATAACCAAATTGATTTTTTATATATATGTGTGTGTGTGTGTATATATATAATATGTAAACAAATGACATACTAGGCTGATCTATTACAATCATTGAAAGAAATAAGGAAGAGCAGAAATCTCTACCAGTCCAGATACATACATATATATGTGTGTGTGTGTGTGTGTGTGTGTGTGTGTGTGTGTGTGTATAAAACCATGGAACCTGCCAAACACTAATCCTAGCCAACTTCAATCCTTCTTTCTCTTAACTATCTTCTCTGAATAAGTTCTGGACATCACCTTAAAACAAGTTTTTAGAAGAGTAATATATATTCATGGGATTGTGAGGGAGCATTGTACAGCTGTTTTCTTCTCGGTCACTGTGGTGATTTTCCTAGATGCTATGAAAAGGTTTGTTCACTTATGAGATTAGGACTTTTCTTAAATTCTTAAATTCCTCATTAAATATGAACCTAAGGTATACTCGTCATTTACCTTGACTCCCATATAATTTGTATAGGTCATATATAAGTCAATTGACAAAATAAAAAAATAAATAATTGGATTCCTTCTGTCAATAGAAAGCCTTGTGCTTAAAACCTGTTATTCTTTCTTGAGCCAGACTAAACAGTAACATAAAAAAATGGTATCAGCCTAATATTAAATCTAAAGTTACTTCTCACATACATCATAAAGTCAGCCATCATCTTTCATGTAGGATTTCTTGAGGTTTTCTTTTTGCATATATAGATCATGTGTTACTTAAATCCAAAATACACATGTATATATATACATATATATGTAACTTAATATAAATGTATGATGAGTTATCTCAATTGACTATAATCTTCTAAGTCAAAAAGAAAATATTTCAGTACATAATATAAAAAGAACTGAACATTAACAGTAATGGGAAATTCATAATGGCTAAATATGAAATAAGCTTTGTCTTTGCAGTTACAAACTAATTCTTCTACATTTTCCCTCTCACTAAAAAAAATAACTAATTGATAGTTGCCATTCACATGAACAAGGTATGATCAGGTTTGGGATCGTACGCCCAAAACCTATGTTTCTTTACCTTATATTCTTAAAACTTGAGACATGATTTTTCTAGAATAAATTAAGATTTCATGTACAATAGAGTCCTTTTCCTAATACTGTTATGGAGAAACCAAGTTGACTACCTTATGAGAGATCAGATATTTCCCTTGTCTCATTATATTCACAGCATATGTTTGGACATGCATTTCACCAAGAACCATGTAGTAATAAGATAAATGGTAACTGAGGTACTGTGAAATTTTTAGAACTTGATTCCCCAGGACATGCTATAGTAAACTAAACTATTTATCCAAAAGTAACTCAACTAATTAAAATGAAAAAAATTATTGAATCACAATGAACAAACATAAAACAACACTTAAATGAGAATTCTGCATCTTTTTTGGTCTTATCTGTGATTTATTTTTTCCTGTATTAAGGAAAGGTTATCTTTATCATTCTTCTAATATGTTTTGGTTTCTCTAATGGTTCATTTTCCTTTAGGTTGTGGAAAATTAGGGCAGCTTGTCCGGAACCTTACTCACAAGAGACACCAGGACCAACCCATGCCTAGATTTCTGTTAATAAAAGGGAGAAGTGTATTTGAACAGGTAGTAAAGGCAGGTACAAGTTTAAGGGAGCAGGGTTAACATACGTACTAGGTGAGATTTCTATAAATGTCTGAAAAGTTACATGCATAGTCATTGGCTCAGGTAATTTCTCTGAATTTGAACTTATTTGATTTATTTAACCAAGTTATTATAATATGCAGTTCTCTTTAATCAATCTTCTATTATTCAATCATCTATCCATTTATTAATTCAAAAAATATTTATTAAAGTGCCTACCATGATTATGTGCTGTAGAAAAGACAAGGACATTTACTAGGGGGGATTGTGGGCCCAATGGGCATCATGAGCATGTTTGAAGCAAAAGACAATAATCACATCCAACGGCACCAGTTCAGCTCAACTTTAGAATTCAGCAGTAATAGTACAGATGGCCTAAAGTACATCTGTGTGTATCTGTACATGTGCACACACCCATGTATATATATTTATCTATCTGTACAAACACTACATATGTATACACACTATCTATGTAAAATATAATATATGTATAATGCATATAAATTCTAACAAGTGTATTTGTGTTATCTTTAAAATAGAACAATTGTATCTTGAAGTGGTAAATGCAGAGAATTGGTTTTATTGTTGATCTGTGGATTTAATGATTTTTAGGTGAAAAGGATGTTTAAGTGTACAATTTCTTTCTTAATTTAATATATTTATGTAAATGCATGCCTGAAATTTGGTTAGATTGACTGTGTTTTGTGTCTTTTAACGTGATCAAATGATTAAACTTTATCTTATGACTTGATGTACATGTGCTATTTTAAAATTCTTCTTTATTTTAGAATTTAAAACTTTTTTCTAAATATACAGACTGATTCCATAAACACCAATTTTTAAATACTCTATAGACAAACTACTTCAAAATATTCTCATCTTTTGTCATTTTTCACGTTCTAATTTTAAAATTTTCTTCCAAAATATATGCCAATGTTAAGGGTCAGTTTCATTAGGCAGCCATGAAGATGTTACATTGATAAATTTGTTCTAGGTTGTAAGTCCCTTAAACCTCATCTTTTCAAGTAAGTAAGAATAAGTAAAGAATGTAGAAGAGCAGTTAGGAACCCTGGGTGCCCAAATTGAAGGGAAGAAGCATATGGAGGGGGAGGGACATGAACGAAGGTGATTGCAGGTAGCCCAAAACTTCGCTTACCTCGCCATTTTGCTTCCAGTTAACCCTACCAGGAGTATTTTGACCCGTTACTTTGAGCACAAATTTAAAATCTGCCAATTTTTTTTTTTTTAGAAAAGCAAAATGTGTTCATCTAAGTCCCCTTTCTTCCTGGATAAATGCATCTCTTTGGCTCGTTGAAATGAAAAACTATCTCTCTGCAAGACATTATTTCTAAGAGAATAAAATGTGTTATAAAGTGTTTATTCAGTAAGTGTTCCTCAGCTCAGATTGCTCTTTAGAAGTTTTAAGTTAGACAAAATGTCACCATGAAAAGAGCCCTCTAGCTCATGTTCACAGCAGCCCAGGAAACACCACAATTCTTTGTTTTTCTACCTTTCTGACTCCTAGAATGTGTCCTTGTGGCTCAGCCCATGATCACCCTTTTGTTTCTTGTGTGTCTACTATTTTTTTGAATCCCTGATAGACCTATATCATTTCCTACATATGTGAAGAAAATAATAGTACATATATCCACTCTAGTGATGGAAGTGATTTCTTGTTCATCTCTCTGGGTTCCTTCACTCTCTCTTTTTTGGCTTCTCAGATCTGCCATCACCAGCATAATTCTCACTTTAAATTTCCGCTGTGGTAAACACTTAAAGTGGCCTCCATTTCCCGTTTTTAGATGCTGATTGCCACAGTTTTTTGTTTTTTTTTTTAATTTTTTAATTCTTTTTTTTTTTTGAGACAGAGTTTTGCTCTTTTTTTTTTTCTTTCTTTTTTCTTTCCAAGTCTTGCTCTGTTGCCAGGCGGGAGTGCAGTGGCGCTATCTCAGCTCACTGCAACCTCTGCCTCCTGGGTTCAAGCGATTCTCCTGCCTCAGCCTCCCAAGTAACTGGGAATACAGACACCCACCACCACACCCAGGTAATTTTTGTATTTTTAGTAGAGACGGGGTTTCCCCATGTTGGCCAGGATGGTCTCGATCTCTTAACCTCATGACCCGCCCGCCTCGGCCTCCTAAATTTCTGGGATTACAGGCGTGAGCCACCACGCCCAGTCAGAGTTTCACTCTTGTTGTGCAGGCCGGAGTGCAATGGCTCAATCTCCACCTCCTGGGTTCTGCCTCAGCTTCCCAAGTAGATGAGATTACAGGCACCCACCACCATGCCTGGCTAATTTTTGTATTTTTAGTACAGTCAGGGTTTCACCATGTTGGCCAGGCTGTTCTTGAACTCCTGACCTCAGGTGATCCACCAGCCTCGGCCTCCCAAAGTGAAGGGGTTACAGGCGTGAACCACCATGCCCAGCTGATAGAAGTATTAATAAGAATGACAGACCAGTGAGAAGAGAGATGATGTGGTGGAACTAAAAAGGGACATGATGACATCTTTAAGAGGGACATGATGAGATCTTTAAAAGGGCACATTAAGAAACCATTATCTTGGATCCCATGTGATCACAATGTTAGAGGGATCCTACTTCCAAACTTGGAATGTAAACCTTAAATTCCTAAGGCAGTGGAGAAGAGGAACCTTCACAGTTGTCACTAAAAGACTTCACAGCTCACACTGGTACTATCACAATTCTCAGTTGCCAAGTTCCCCAGGATTTTGACAGTTAATGTGACAGATATGTCTATAAAATCTCTCCTTTACACTCACTTTTTTAATAGAAAAGCTGAAACTAGTGTTCTATTTCCAACGGAAATGCAATTTAAAATACCAGCCACACTTAATATCTCTTCAGTAAAAAATAGTTTTTTCTATTGGGAGTTCTAAGGAGGACCCTCTGAAGATTAAATCCTATTATCATTCAAAGAAATGAGAGGATAAAAGAAAGGAAAACAATTTGGATAAAATATTTCTTCTACATTTTTATAATTTCCATGCAGTATTTTCTATGATTAAAATAAACAAACACTTTAAAAGGGAAAAGGAGGCGGGAGGGAGAGGGAGGTAGAAGGCTGGGTAGCTCCCAACTATAAAACTCAGTCTTCTTGGGACTATGCCAGCATCAGAAACTACTTGAGCTCAGTCTTGTAATTTAATAACATGTTGTCAGATCCTTTTGACATATTTATAGCCTTATAATTAAAACTCCTTGATGCAAAATCCATGTGCTTCATGTAAAGCAATTTCACTTATCGTAGACACTCTGTTCTATGATCTACAGCTACCAAAAGCAACACATGCCAGGTGTACTGGCAAGAGGCAAGAGCTCTGGCCTAGGGCTGGGAGATGTGGATCCTGTACCCAAGTCTCCAACTAATTAGCTGGAAGCTACTGGATATATCTCTCACCGCACTGGGACTCAGCTTCCTTATATATAAAAGAACTCAGGTTCTCTCAGCTTTAACAAACAGGTATTACTATTAGGTAGTACTAATTTCATGATCTATGTGGATGGCAGATTTGAAACTGCAACTCTTACATAGGAATATATTAACTACTGCATTTCACGAATTTGTAGTGGTTACATAATCATAAAAGACACTCTCACTCATTTTCCTCTAATCTCCCAGCCTCCTCTTTGCCCTGGCTCTCCCACTCTTCTGTGGTTCTGGTGTGGCCTCCTCTTAGGTGTTCTCTGAATCTCTTTTTTCTGTTTCTTCCACCTGGTAGGTTCACTCTTGAACCCATTCATGTCTCCCACAGCTCTCACTCAAAATTTTTAAGACATTATCTGATCCATGTCCATCATTTCCTTTATGCTGAAGAAGTACATGTTACAGGGAAGCTGCTACTCTCTTCAGGGTCCTTAATACTTGGTTTTGCAACTGTCACAAACATCATTATTGCCTCTTCCATGAATTATGTCCCCAAGAGAACTGCTGTAGACATCCTACCTACAGCATATTCTGGGCATGTAGAAGGGCAGAAATGCTCTGTTGATATCATCGAGAAGGCAGTCAATTCAAGACACAGAAGAAAGCATAACCAAGAATATTAGTCTTCTTAGGCTGCCATAACAAAATATCACACACTGGAAGGTTTAACAGAAATTTATTGCCTTGCAGTACTGGAAGCAGGAAGTATAACATCAAAGTGTTGGCAGGCCTGGTTCCTTCTGAAGGATGTGAGGAAAGAATCTGTGCCAGGCCATCTTCTCCCTGTGTCTTTTCACATCACCTTCCCTCTATATGTGTCTCTGTGCCCACATTTCCCTTTTTATAAGGACATCAATCATACTGGATTCAGGCCTAAACTAATGATTTAACTTGATTACCTCTGTAAAGACCGTCTCTCCAAAAGGGTCACAATGTAAGGTTCTGGGGGTTTGGACTTCAACATATGAATCTGGGGAAGGGAGAGGGGGAGGGGACACAATTCACCACAGCACTGTGCCCCAGAAATGGCATCAGACTTCACGGAGGTCTCGTTTTCATTGTCTGACACAGTGCTTCTGAAACTCCGCGGTGCCTCATGTCACATGGGGACTTCACTAAAACACAGATTCTGATTTAGTACATCTGGGCTGGGGCCTCAGATGATCTCCAACAAACTCTGAGGTTATACTAATCCTGATGGTACACAGCCTTACTTTGAGGAGCAAGGATCTAATTCATGGTGGATAGGCTGTTTTAACTTCAAGGGCAGAATGGTAATGCTGGAAAAGACTTAATGAAAACATGACCTTCTGCCTCCAAAAAGGAAACAATGGTGTGGTTTCCATCTTAATTCCAGGCTTGTGCTTAGTTGGGTAGAATGTACACAACAGCACAGAGTCAATATTTGTGCTTAGCAGTCAGTCATCCTCGTGACACTGGGGATCCTTGCTGTGGTTACTACAACTGCTGTTCTTATTTTCAGCAATAACATTATAATCACACAAACAACTACAATATTTCAATGTATGCTGGAATTCATCTGTCTGTTTAAAACTGGGTTGCTAAAGTGATATGTACTATAAATAAAATACACATTAGTTTTACAGTGTGTAAATTGTGCCAAGATAGTACATTGCAGTAACAGAAAACTGTGAAAGACTCTTGTTAAGAGAAAAAAAAAAAAAGAAAGGAAATTATCACTATGAATAACTATACCTTAATGAAGATGTAGACCCTGAAAAACAAAGAAAATAAGCATTTGTGCTATATTGATTTTTTTCTGCCAATTTTATATAGACTTTATGTTTTAGAGCAATTTCAGGTTAATAGCAAAATTGAGAAGAAGGTACAGATATGTCTTGTATACCCTCTCCCCCTACATATGCATAACGTACCTCTCCTGTTATCAACATCCCCCACCCAAGAGGAACATTTGTTAAAATTGATGAACTTACATTGACACATCATAATCACTCAAAGTTCATGGTTTACCTTAGGGTTCACTCTTAGCTCTGTGATAAATGGATAATGACGTGTACCTGCCGCTATGGTATCATACAGAGTAGTTTCACTGCCCTAAAAATCTTCTGTGCTGCACCTATTTAGCCCTGTCTCTCCCCAAGCCCTGCCAACCACTGATCTCTTTAACTGCCTTTATAGTTTGTCTTTTCCTGAATGTCATATAGTTGGAATCATACAATGTGCAGCCTTTTCAGAATGTCTTTTTTGCTTAGTAATATCCATTTGCTTAGAAATGTCTATCCAATAGACATTTCTTCCATGTCTTTTCGTGGCTTGATAGTTG